TCCTTTTATCAGGCTAAGCAAGACTTATCTTCCTAGCTAAACACTGTTTTTAATTAGTATTTAGTCAGTAAAATGAGCAATGAATTTTTCCTGTAGTTAGTAGGTAACTGGTTTTCTAATGAAGAACTATCCTTTACTCCAAATAGACAGTTGCTCCTTACATAGTTTTAACACACTACTCATTAGTTGCCTCAAGATTGGCATTCCTGCACATCACAGAATGAAGCTAGGCAACCAAAGGTCCTGGAGGCAGCTTGGCCAAGGGTCACTTGCTGAACGTGAAAAAAACAAAGAGCATGTATACTGACTGTGCCCCACCAACGTGTCGGGAAGCTGTTCAGTTCTTAGGATACTATTTTAATTTACCACTTAAGGTGTGTGATTATGTGTTATGCCACTGTCCCAACTGCCATGCTCTCTCAGACTAAAATGTATTTTTTCTTTAATAAGCTATTGCCATGTAATCACTATTTAAAGTAGATAATACTGATTATGAATATATTATAGATTCATCAATAGACAAAATTACTGATATAAAATATGTTCACACTGGTAAAGTCGAAGTACTATACTACAAATGGACTGTGTTAAGTTTAATAAAAACTAAGGAAAAAATCCCATTTGCAGTTTATAGAATTAACATTTTTTCACTTACATTTAGAATTTTTCACTTACATATAGAATAAACATTTTTTCACTTAACACTTTTTCATGTCTCTAATAATAACACACCCACACACCTTAATAAACTGTGACCACTACAAAACCTATTTTAGGACTGAAAAGAAGAGAATTCAGCTATGGCCATTTCCTCACTTCTCCCAACTTTTTAAAAGAAGCCTGTCAGTATTTAAAAAATAATGTATCAGTAACTTTCCTTCACCTTAACAGATAACTTTTGGCCAGATTTTTCTTGCTGAGCTTTACATTTTCCAAGTCTCACCTTAACAAGCACTAGCTGAAAAGAGCATTATGAGAAATATTCAAGTAATCTCAATGCAAAAATACATCTGTAAAGAAAACACATTTCTGAGTTTTCCCATAACACTTCTACTACTAAATTCAAATACCTTCCTCAAACCACCTGTCCTCCTTTGAATGCTTTAACAATAGTACTTTTGCTTATTAAACTAAATTCTTACAGAAAGATTGCAAGGGTTTTGAATAGCCCCAAACTGAAAGGCTGTACATAATTACTTCAGGAATACAAAAATAAAATTACCAAAATTCCAATGACAAGAGATTTTTAGGATCTAAGAGTGGAGAACTGCAAAATGTACTTGAAAATTTTTATGGCAATTGTTCAAGCTAAATGCTGACAGTAGTAAGTGTATACTTTTTTTCACACCAATGTGGGAAATTCTCAAAATAGGCAAATATTTACTTGAAGAAACTATCAGTGTCCCCCATAACATACAATACTAACAACTTATGTAACCTGATTCCCATATTTTGTCTTTTCCTTTTCAGATAACCACATTTTAATATCAGCGTTGGTGATTGCTAGCACAGTAATTCTGACAGTTTTGGGAGCAACTGTGTGGTTCCTGTACAAAAGAAATTTGAATTCTGGTTTCACCACAGTTTTTTCAACTGCACCCCAATCACCTTATAATGATGACTGTGTTTTGGTAGTGGCAGAAGAAAATGAGTGTGTTTAATCTGAATGAAATTTTGCATATCCCAGATGAAGACATCAAACACACTGACAGTGATTCATGTTCAAGATTTTCATATAAAACTTGACAATGAGTTTTTATTGTATATATCCTTATTTCAGTAACATTCCTCATCTGATTTGGAAATGATCTCAGATGTTAGTGGTTTTAACCACCTTCCCAAATGTTACTTTTCACTTGAATGAAAGCTTAAAGCCCACACAGAAAACAAAAACAAAAACAAAAACACCCCACTCTACTTGTCTTACCTCCTCTATCTCCCCTATCCTCTCATTTAGTTGAACCTTACGGTTGGGGGAAAGAAATTCTACCTACCGCTACAGTTTTACTAATCACTAGGCTTGCCCTTTTATTAATAAACATGACATGGGAAATAAACCTTTTAAATAGATAGTATATATTTAGATATATGAGTGCAAGCTTGTTACTCTGGCATGTAATTCCTCTAATGCTTTTCATCTTTATGATTAAGATTTAGAAAGTTTTAGAGATTTTTAACACCCTAAATTCCACATAAATTATTTTACAATTTCATTACTTTCAGAACACCATTTTGAATAACAAACAGTATGTAGCACTGATCAAAAATGGTTAGAATTTTAGTAAAATTTTATGCCCTTTGAAAGAAGAACAATTACAGTCATACCAGGAAAGTAGTGGGAGGCTGGTAGTAAAAATAACACTTGTATCCTAAAACCTCTAAGGATTTTTCTACTATCACCACACCTGTTACTCTGTAAAGCTGTCTCATACTCCCCCAGCACTGATGAACCATATCATTCAATGACATAAAAACTAAGCAAAAAATGCACAAAAACAATATATACTACTATAGTGATGATGCTTCAGGTTTCAGCACACTTAATGTACAATTTAAGAGAAGGCTGAAAATAATCTTTCAGGGGTAAAAAATAAAAATGGGGAAAAGCTGAAAACAAAAGTTACTTTTCTAAGTATTCTTTACAACTAAAAAAACTATTAGCAATTATGCTCTATTTAGAAACTCGAAGCCCAATTAAGTATCCTGTCTCCCTAATCAACAGCATTAACTTACAGAGAATACTTTTCTTACATGATCTCTGTTTGACCAAAGGCAACAAAGTCACAGTTTCCCTTGGCCTCACCACAAATCAAAAACACCCCTGATCACAATTAATAGCACTATTGTTAATGAGATATGAGTAACTATAGCAATGACAGATGGACTATACAGGGTGGCTATATGGTATTAAAAAAATGTAACAGCAGCTCCATTATACAATTATGCTCTGTAAGTGCTTTAAGTTTCTAAGATTTTTCATAATGATTTAGAAGAAGTCTACTTTGTTATTAGTAAGCTACTAAGTGGTACTAATAGTAGTGAACATTAGAATTCCTTCTTAGTCTCCTATTCAAATTCTTACCTCTTTCTCAAAACTTTCTTACTGTCACAAATCTCTACTGTCTAATATGGTAGCCAGTAGCCATATGTGGCTATTTAAATTAAAATTAAATATAACTTAAAAGTTCAGTTCCTCAACTGTGCTAGCCGAATTTCAAGTGCTCAAATCACATAAGCAGTTAATAGCTACCATACTGAACAATGCAAATTACATATTTCCATTTTTGCTGGTCATTGCTGCTGTCTACTCACTGCCCTTCTATTCAGCTCCCATATAACTAATTTTCTTCTGTTTGATAACTTCTGCCTAATGGCTGCTCTTGCAAAGTGGCTGTTTTAAAGTGATTTATCCCCCATGTTCGATTTCATTTTTTAAACAAGTTCTCAGAGGACCCTGGTAATGAAATGCTAAATCTTAATTTTCTTTGTATGTTGGGTTGGCCAAAAGGTTTTTCTTCCTATAGGATGGCCTAGTAGTGCAAGTTGTCTTTAACTTCATTTGAAACAATTTTGTTAGATTGTATTGTGACAACTGTCATATCAGCATTAAAAAACACATCAAATAATTTTTGTATAGCCATTTTAACACGGAAGATGGAAGAAGGCAACATTCAAAGCATATTATGCTTTATCTCAAGAAAGGTAAAAACATAACTGAATCGCAAAAAAAAAAAAAAATTGTGCAGTGTATGGTGAAAGTCCTCTGACTGACTTAATGTATCAAAAGTGGTTTGCAAAGTTTGTGCTGGAGATTTCTCACTGAACAATGCTCCACCATCAGGTAGACCAGTTGAAGTTGATAGAGATCAAATTAAAATATTGAGAATATTTAACATACCACGGCGGAGGATAGTTGACATACTCAGAATATCCAAATCAGTAGTTACTGGTGAAAATGAAAAGTGTGTCTTTTATTTTATAGAAAAAACTAAACAGACTTTTTGGCCAACCCAGTATCAGGACACTTGTAAATAGGGCCTTGTATGAATTTGGTGGTCAACAGATAACAAATTACACATGCTTGCTTGCCTATATTCAGAATGTATAAATTGCATTTTTCAACATCTTTCTTCTAGCTAATAATGACAATATAAATTATGTTTGGCATTTATCTAAAGAACTATTATTTTTCCTAGGATTTTGCAGTCTTCATAGTGAGTAATGTATGGTCCTCTATTTTTGTTCAGAGTTTAAAAGTGATAACCAAAGTAAAGACCTTTTTTCTTATTCCAATTCCTTTAATTAACATTTACAGGATTCAGAAACTAATACACTATTAAATATGTAGTACTAAGAAACTATAAGAATACTACTATTAAGCTCAAGTCACTGTCTCTGTCACTTAATATTTAATATTAAAAATATAAACATGTTATGTGGACCAATGGAAAGATTTTTACCATTAATTTAAAAAATATTTTATTCATTTATTTTTAGAGGAGAAAGGAAGGAGAAATACAGGGAGAGAAACATCATTGTGTAGCTGCTTCACATGTGCCCCCTTCTGGGGACTTGATCAGCAACCCAGGCATAAGCCCTGACTGGGAGTCGAACCAGTGACCCTTTGGTTCGTAGGCTGGCACAAAATCCACTGAGCCATGCCAGTTAGGGCTAATTAATTTCTTTAAATAAAAGATTTTGTTGGTTAAATCAGAAGACACTTAATTTTCATACTGAGTTCTATTAAAAGTATAACTGTTTCAAATTCAAAGCATCCCCAAGGACCCACAGAATAGATAGTGAAACTGACATCCTTAAATTCTGTATTTTTGCTTTAAATAAGGCAATGAATGCAAAGCTAACAGGTAAAAGTTGAGCAAATGTTTTAGAAATATATTTTTATATGAAGTGGAATGTGAAATTTTAGTAAAATTCTTGCATGTAAGATTTGATGTCTACTTTGAGCACTAGTTTAAAAGGAAACATTTCAAACTATAAAGTAAATCAATCAGTATGCACTTTATTTCAAGCCAAGATTTTACATTAAGACCAACAAACTAATTGTGGGCAAACTGTTGATTTACATTTGAGAAATTACATGGTTTCTATTTAGGTTCTGAAAAAGAAGTTTGTTGCCATGACATAAGACTTAACCTAAAATCACCTGAAGGTGTTTTTTAAGTGTATCTTAAGGGTGTTGACAAAGAAAATATACTGTTCTGGAACTATACACAACTCATGACCACAGTATAGATCTACTGATGTTGAGCAGGTAAAGTTCATCTGTTCTCCAAAGGTAGTGAAAAATAGTAATTTACCAAATAAATGCTCAGATTAGCAAGGAACAGTTAAAAACGACCAGGATTCAAACAGGTTATTTATATCATATTTATCTACAAAAAAGTGACAACTCTAAAAAAACACATTGAAAACCAGTGTTTTAAACTCTGAATGTGGGATTTAAAAATATTCAATAACTTGAGATTGCAATATTTTTCCCTTTACCAAATAGCATCTGACTGGCAATTCTGGTATAATTTATAGCTGTAATATTCCAAAAAGAAATGTCCACATTCTATGGCCTATCAAATATAATCTGCCCTTTCCAAATCATTATAAAACTTTATCCATAATTTATACATTTTATATTTATATACTTTTAAAAAATTAAATTTTATGGCTAAGTGAATTTAGAATTTAAATTAAATTTGGACACCTAATATAATCGTCTTCACAACTTACTCCCCATTCTTTATTTTTTTAAACACTGGAAGCAAATGATTATGAAAATGATGCTGCAACTTAAGGCATTTTAAAAGGAAAAATAATTAGGTGCCATCTGGCATTTTATTTTGAAAGTATATTTCTGTCTTACTTTTTTCACTAGCAAAAGACTAAAACACGAATCATTTTCATAAATATGACTCTAATAATCAGAACACAAAAACATTGTAGGCATTGCTAAGATATTTAAAATAATGTAATACTTTCCTACTCACCTAAAAGAAAAATACTTTTGATTACCAGTTTATAAACATCAGTCACTGGCCATGTTAAAAGGTCCAGCAAATAGAATTTTAATTCAGCAACACTTGAGAATGAATATATATACACATACATGATTACATGTGTATATATATTCATTTTATATATGTATTCAATAGGCATTCCCCCACAAAATTGATTCATCCTTAATTGCCAGTTTTAATAAACACTTGTTAACAGATCATCCATTTGTCTTATATGAAGTTAGGCAATATCAAATGTTCTGTTATGGTCTCCATCTTCTTCAGAATCATCCTCTGAAGCTGTTGAAAGAAAACAGGATGATCAAGAATGATTTTAAGGGGGGTGAGAGCAGAAGTATAAATATGAAGCCAGAATAGCAATGACTTGTAAAATAAAATCCCAATTTAGTATACTGTTTGGTCAAAATGGCAAATTATGACAAGGTTAGGGTGGTCTGACTGTGGTTAATGCCCATCCACAATACCCCCACCCCCAATCTTTTTGTGTTAGTTTTTATAAAAATGAAAATGTTTACAAATATGATTCAAGAACATTCTAAAAAGTTTCTGAGATCAGTTTTTGTTCACAGTAGCCAATTACACTACAGAAAAAGTGGACTTAAGGCAAGTGCTCTCACGCACCCGAGTACACTCTTGCTTATTACCTCTGCATGTTTTGATGCATCCGGTGAGAATGAAAGAAAATGTACACAAATAATACGTTATGGGTATTCTTGCAAATTACATCAAAGCTATGTCTGTATAATGCCAAGAAAAAGCTCTATTTAGTCAAAATAGCTTTATAGAGACACAGCCTAAGTTAAAATAACTGGATTCAGTAAAAACCTTGTTGAAATTACTCCTATGACATCATATTGTCAGAAACATCACTTTTGCAATATTTTTTATCTCAATTTATTTTAGAGTCATTAGTGGCTCAAGAGTTTAATATGAAACATCTTGAAATGTCTTGAAATAACATTAAGTATTCTGTAAACTGCTCTGCATGTTGGGGAAAATAGAAGTTCACTAAAATAAACATTCAGCTAGCATTTCCCCCTATTATCAAGGGCAGAAAGGTTAAATGTATACTCTTTTTGTATACACTTAAGAGCACTCAGCAAATGAAATCAACAAGAAAATTACGCTACATGTACAGATGCAACTTACTTTCCATATTTCAGCCTATTTATCTTGCAAAAAACTTAAAACTCATTTTTAATAAATGATATCAAGCATACACTTAGCTCATGAATGAGTAAATCCTAGGATTAAGTTTTATACTATATCATGGAGCAGTATCAAACTAAAAAATAAAATAGCTTTTCAGAGAACTTTTCATGTTTTCTATTTGATTCACTCCACAGAAGAAAATTACAGTCAGAACCCATGTTTACAGTATATTAATACTCTGGTACTTGGGAGTTAACTTGTAGCACCCACAACATCTTTCATTCTCAGCTGAGCTGGAGTGTATTTCACCTCCATCTTTTCCCTCTCATACAAATGACTTCCTATCTTATATGCCATATGACTTTACATACTTTTCTAAACATGCATTATCTGGTTATACTTCTACTGCTTTCAAAACTTAAAAATACAGAATGACCAAATCCATGTCTTTGAGTAATCAAGGAATGAAAAGTTCTTATGACGAGACTAAGTCCTTCTCACAACTTCAAAAAATGCTTAACATTCTCTAAAGATGAAAATGTTATGCACACTACAGACATTTTCAAGTACTTTGATGATGATATAGAAGGTAATCAATTGGAGAATACATTATTTTAAAACACTTCAAAGAGTATACTGGAATTTGATCATGGGGAGCCACTTGCTTTGGTTGAAAAAGTACTACTAAACAGGGTAATCTTGGAATGTTGGAACTGTTCCAGAGCCACCAATATCTCCTGGTATGAAGCACCATGGAAGTTGTAGGACTTTAAGAGGGTATGTTGCACAGATGCCTATAAAGACTTGGGCATTAAATGCTTTCATACAGGAGCCCGGGCAGAAGTCCTAATGCTGGAATGTGATCTTAAAAGATGAGCTGCTGGTGGAACTGGCTACCTATTAAAGGTCCATGAGAACCTGAACAAGGAACAAACTAAAACAGTCCCAACAACCACCAGCCTACCACTATGGCTTCTGTTATAGGCTTAAAATTAGGGCTCTTTTACCCTTATTTTCCTAGAGCTATACGTAAACCCAGGAAAACCTTTTATGAACTAACAAAACTGAGTAACCAGTAAAAAATTTCATGTGCACACACACAAATCTAACAGATTAGTAAATGCAGTCTGATTACTTCTCAAATATGTCTTCTAAGTGTGAAAATTAAGGTGATCAAAACCAAAAGTTTACTCAAAATAGAATATACTGATGATTAAAATTAAGATTCTTCTGTACCTTAAAATTAATACTATTTAAAAAAATGTTTTTAATAAACTAATGTCAGTTGCCCAGCCAATCTTTCCCAAATCAATTTCTATTACTAAGCTTATAAATAAAGCTCTAATTTGCGAGAGTGTATACTTAGGTTTTGCTCTGTGGGTTTAATTTGCAAAAGTATATTCAACAAGTCTGGGGAGGAGAAATTCCACCTACTTTCGAGATCTTCCATATGTGCCTGAAGAGTTCTTGCAAGGTTAATAAACTAGAAACAATGCAGAAAAAAATACAGTAGTTGAAATGTTGCAAATGGATCGAAAGAGAGAATAAGTACAGGAGTTTCCTTTCTATTAAAATGTCAAACACCATTTTAAGCCTTTAAATAGGGGTCTTTCTCCCCCGACCCACATCAAAAATTACAATGCTTAAGTATATTGTTTTCAATTTTTTTTAATTAGCCATGTAGATATCATGTATTTATCATGTAGAAATTTAGTGCAAATGCAGTACTTTTATCAAATAACATTCCTCTTGCATAAATGTAACACATAACAATTATAAAGAAAAATAAGAGCTTTACAATTTGGACTCAAATGAATTCTATTTTAGTGGTTAATTTTAAAAAACTGAAATAAGAATCAATCTTTTCCCATCTAAATTTGATAGCTTTAGAAGTATTACATTTAGTTCTATCTGTTTTTAAATCATAAAAATGACTTGCACTTTAATATTAATTTGACTACAGCTTTTACAAAGACATGATGAATTCAACAGACCTGACATGCTTTATGGTTTATTCATTCTTAACACAGAAGTCAGTTTATGGCATTAACTAAATTTAAGTACTATGATTTCTAAAGTACTCAGGAGACGAGATCTTTGCTCAAATTCTGAGTAGTCTTAAGACAATTCACTCTCTCATCCCTCAATGACAATAATTTGTCAACTGGCTCACAGGTATAATAATGTCCACATGATGGTTTCAGAAAAATGTTGTTATTATGTACTGAATATTTGTTAATTTTTTAAAATACCATAAACTGCTAAATTTTCATCACTAAAATGAACATTTATATAAAAAGCTTAAATATGCTTATGACCACATTTAAAAACACAAAGTGTTCAGACTATTACAGTAATGAGATGTAGGTGGCCCTAGCCCTGCTACACAAAATGGGTAAGGCAGCAGCATAGAAATTTCCTCTGGTACACTAAGGCAAACCATTTACTAATTCTTAACTCATTCATTTACTAATACCTAACAAAAAACAGCTGGCTTAAATGTTAAGGTAATAGTGTACAGATCAAACACCAAATAGTCCATATCTTAAATTTATATTATGGACACACTTAAAATCAGTACACTGATATGCTTTTACATGACAGTAACAAATAAACTGCAATGAATTTCCCATACTATCTTGGTTTTTGGAGTTCAATTTCAGGTTATAATATTGACTTGCCACTTGCCACACCCCACCCAATTAAAAAGAGGGTGTTTTTCCCTTTGTGTTCCCAATTCTCCGATTCTCACCAATATATATTACAATAACCTTTAAGAGCTAGAAAATTACTTCTTTCTCTAAAATAGTTTTGTGAGAAAATTGGGCTGTTTTGATATAGAAGACAGCAATTTCTAGTAAACGTATAATATCTTTATCTAGCTCACCAAAGTAACTACAATGTTGACATACAAAACAAACTGCTTTCTAAAGCAAATACTTGGTGCATCAATCATATCCTCCCTTCTCCCCCACTCCCATATTACTCACTCTGACTCGTGTGCTTGGTTCATTTGTATTTCCCATCATATCTGAAAAGCTTTGTTCCCAAAAGTGCAGTAACACAACAAGGTAGAGACCAGAGCTGATAAACTCGTACTCGGCCTTCAATTGGGAAGCAGAGAAGAAAAAAAGAATATGGAGAATGAAAAATTAGTAAACTTGAGATTGATAGCATACTGATAAACTAGAGGAAATGTATTCATGTCTAGATCCTAGTTAAGAGATATGGTGCCACCTGTTAAAACAAGAAATGAAGGGCCACCCTTCATAATTTCCTAAATTTTTACTAATGCCAGTGACGAGTCAAAATAGGTGTGTGACTATCCTCTTTAGTCTCTTATAGTCTCCCTTTATGTCCTGATTTATATAAAACCACTGGTGGTAGAATGAATGCCCTGGTTCTATATAAAGCTCATAAAAGATTTCATTGCACAAATGGCTATAAATGTTTACTTTAAAATGACCATTTTACCTACAGCTAAATCAATACACTGCATAATGAAAAGCTATTCAGACAGACCAAGTGTTTTTTATGTAATATAGTTAATTTAAAAGCAACACTAATTACAAAAAGAAACTAAAAAGAAATACAGTAACTGTTCCTCAAACAGTTCTTTGATTCCAAACTGCTCTACTGTTTTGAAGCTAAGACTACAAATCATATAGTGTTTTTAATGTCTAAACTGTCCTATAAGTTTTATATAGCAAACTACCTTTAAGTTGTACCATTTTTTGATATTTAACTTATATGAAGTTAAAAACTGTACATTCTTAGTACCAACTTCAGCAAGTTATCAGCTAGAGTATTTAAAATTTTAAATTGATTTATTAAAAGTTTCTTTAAATGTGTCACTTTCTTTATTAATTTAAAAGGAAATTATACACTGATAAGATTTTAAAAAGTCAATGGTTATCATCTTGACAAAGATGAAGCTACTGGATAATGAAATACTAAACTGTATTAAACTAACCACTTAAAATGGAGGTAGTTATCAGGCCACCAGAATCTATGATATTTTCTCTCGCGCGCGCATGCGCGCGCGTGCGAGAAGTCAAAGCCAGGAAGCGGAAACTGTCAATAATAACATTTTAGTTGAATTGAAAACGCCCAGAGAAGGAAAAATGGCAGAAGAAAATTATCCTTTGAGACCTACTCTCATTTTGAGAAAAATTAAAAAAAAAAGAAAGCTTCTTTGCATTATTCTATCTTTCCATATTCTTTGCCCCATTCTTTAAAGTACTAATGTTCAGTTGTTGAGATACTCCTTGGAGATTAAAAAGAAGTCACTGCTTAACATGGCCTTCTTTTGGACAACTGACTCATTAGAGAGTAACACAATAATTAGTATTAGAGTAGCATCTGTAGTACATCAACTGCCTAATATTTCACTCACTAGATCAGGGATTTTTAACCTGGATCTTAGCAACTAGCTTCAAGAGATCTGGGAATCCCTTAAATCATTTACAGATTTTGTCTATGTATACTTTGTAAGAAGTGTTCGTGGTTTTAATCAGATTTTCAAGGGGTATTCATTTACTCCCATATTTAAAAGTAAAGAGTGTCCACAAAAGACCATATACTGCATTATTCAATTTATATGAAATATTCAAAACAGATAAACCCACAGAAACAGAAGGCAGATTGGTGGTTTCCAGGGGATATGGAAAGGGGTGTAATGGGAAGAAACTGTTTAATGGGTATGGGTTTTTCTTTCAGACAAATGAAAATGCTGGAACTAGACAGAGGTGACTGATGCACAACATCACAAATGTACTGATACCACTGAATTGTTCATTTAAAATCATTTTTATATTATGTGAACGTCATGTGAATAAAAGGGGGGTCCATTACCCCTCATTTAAAAAGTGTTTTTAAAGGATTCATGCATTCTCTCACCATTACATATTTCTTTTTATAATAAATATGCTAAGCTTACTTGGATAGTATGTTTCTAGGATCATCCTAGTAATCTCCTTTAACATCTTTTTTTCACCCCTCTCCCCAATCTTCCTTTAAGAAGGGAAAAACATTGAGCTCTTTATTTTAACTACTCAATTTAAGCATTTCATTTTTTTTAAAAAAAATTTAAAGCTCTTCCACAAAAATTAGTGATCAAAATTACTGGGGGGGAGAGGCATTATTAATATATTCCAACCCCCCCCCCCCAGAAATAAGAAGAAACTACCTGAAAATCTTATTATGATCAGAGAAACTCTGGCATTATTCATTATATAATTAACAGCTAGATTTTAATAGCACAAATACTACATGAAAGAAAAGCAATATGAACTTGGGAGTAAAAGATCTAATAGAATAACCCGTTCAACAGAGTTGAGAAGCAGAAATGGGGAGGGTAGAGAGAAAAAGGATAGTAAGAACATGTGGTCAACGTGCACATAAAAATTATTCCTAAAATAAAATACACAGATACAGGAGGCAAATCCAGGGCTTGGTGTTTTAATCATGTCCCAGAGCTCAGAGGCATTTGTAGCTGAGACATCTCTGGGGAGATATGCTCAGCATGCCTACTTTGGGACTACTTTCCTAAGCTTTTATTATTCTCGGGTTTATTTAGGAAGCATATGATGTATTTTATTTTAATAAATATAAAACTTGTGAGTTGGTTATTTGCCTTTCAGTTACAAAATGTTATGAGAAAAATAAGAAAAACTATAAAATTGTAATACCTAATGCAGTAACAAAACATTATGTTAAAAATATTATTTTTATTATTTTAATGCCAGTTTTCTGACCATGTTTTTAATCTTTTCTTCAACAGTTGTCCTTTAAGCATAGAATGGACACTTACCCAATTAAGCAAAATATACTAACTTGTTCATTTGCATGAGCTCTGTGTAGTTCATGAATATCAAAATCCTCCAGGTTAAGCTGCAACTTCTCTTTACAGAGTTCACAGGTGGTTACAGCCTCTAATGAAGAACCTGGTAAAAATTAAATTGCAAGTAAAACTTAGTTTTCTCTGTCTCCACAAAACATTTTTCTTTGTAAGTTTTAAGCTTAGAATATAGAAAATTAAAAGTAAGGGAGGAAAGGAGGTAGACTGGACTACTGCCATAAACCAGTAATGTCACCTAAAATAGCAATCAGCAACAACTAATGTGTCAGCTCCTACTTTATGGTATTTAAGCCTCCACCCATCATTTAGATATCTGTTTCCCCCCCCTCCCATTTACTCATACATTACAGATCCTGGGGAGCTAACACTGGAATGTCATCTGTACTTCCTACTTCCTCCTTAAGTGCCTTGGCAAGATGGTATTAAAGCAATGTTTAATAACATAGTGTCTCAAACAACTAATTGCATATACCCAGGCCAGTATCTTTGATGTGAAAATACATACCTAAGACCTTTGTGGTTTAAGGAATGTGCCATCCTATGGGGGGGGGGGATCTACCATTGTCTTAGATCAAAACAGCTCCTTTCTGCCATGAAAGTTACGAAGTCCTGATACATGACATACATGACATAACACAGATGAATCCTGAAAACATTATGCTAGGCAAAATCAGGCAGATACAAAAAGGAAAAACGTCCTTTCCATTTATGAAATATGTGGACAGGCAAATTCAGAAAGAAAGGAAACCAGAAGTAAACAGGGATTGAGAGGAGAAGGAAGAGGGCATTACTGCTTGATGGACAGTGTTTCTGTTTTGTGTGATAAAAATTGTAGAAACAGGTAATGGTGATAGTTGGACAACATTCTGGATGTACACATCACTGAACTGTATACTTAATAATAGTTAAAAGGGCAAATTTTATATTATACATATTTTAACCACAATTTTTATTTTTAAAAAAGCTCCTCTGTCCCCCACACATTAAACATTTGGTTACTCCTAAGCTTCTGGTTCCAATTACACAGGTGGTAGTGTTGTCTAATTAAACATAAAGCCATTTTTCTTCACTGTATTTCCTTTTAGATAGGGCTTTAAATGGAAGAATATTCTAAAAATTCAAGGAAGTCAAGTGAGTAACAGGATAGAATTTAGATTTGATTCAACATCTGCTGAATTCTTACTGTGTGGCAAGCAATATTACAGGTCTTGGAGATTCAGAAAGAAAAGAGTAAGTAGTATCCCCTGTCTCCAAAGAGCTCATAACATTCTTAGAATTTAATAATAATTTTTTAAATAATAAAATTTCACGTAAGTCCAAATCAGCAGTAGTAACTTACATGCATTCTCTGGAAAATATCTAAAAGGAAAGTGAATGCTATTCTGAGATAATATATTGTCTATATTGTCTCAAATATGTGTTAGTCAAATTACTTAAGATAGTCACTATAATTGTACCACTGAACTAAAAGTCAGGTTAAGCCCATAATGTCACCTGATAAAACTGTGGAAGACATTTAAAAGGCTTTCTCTTATCACACATTTCTTAAAACTATTCTCTGATTCAGAAGCAGAAAAACTTTGATCATCACCCAATATGGACCTTGGAGATCATTCAATACAGATTACATCTCAGGGCTTTGTTTTTCTCTTCTATGGAGTAAGTAACTTACAGAAATTGTTCAAAAGGCCATACACCCAGCTAGGAGGAACCCATTTATCCCTATATTCTTTAATCTATTCTTTTACCATTATATCCCACCTCACTGCAGTAGGCCCTGACTACATTTGCCTCAACTTGCACTAGACTTCCTTTATTCATCTTTGTACATCCTGTAGAGTTTAACAGTCTCTATATGGCAACTGTTTCATATATGTTTATGTATGAAAATGAATGTTCTACCAGATGGCGTCTTTATGGTAAGTATGAGAAAGGCTTGTGAAAATTTATCAGAATGGTTCTTTCTTGAGGTCATTACAGTTGTTTGATGATTTCTTAAAAGTACTTATCTTAAAAAAGTACATACTGTAACCTTATAAAACTCATATGAATACTTACCAGTACTGTGAGGAACCATTTATAAACATCATCTCATTCGACCTTCACAATAACTCTATGAGGTAAGTATTACCCAATTTCAGTCACCATGGACCTGGAGCCCCACCTCAGACCTACTTACGAATATTCAGGAGTGGATCTGAGGCATCTGTATTTTAAAAAACTTCAATGGGTAATTCTGATCAGTAGTCATGGTTGAGAATCAATATGAATTACTCAAGATCCTATAGTTAAGTATTAGAGTCATTATTACAATCTAGGCTTGTCTAACTACAAAAAGTCAATGTTCTTTTTTTTTTAATTTTTATTTATTTATTTTTCATAGCCTGCAACCCAGGCATGTGCCCTGACTGGGAATCGAACCTGCGACACTTTGGTTCGCAGCCCGCACTCAATCCACTGAGCTATGCCAGCCAGGGCAAAAAGTCAATGTTCTTAAACAATACACTGTATTTATTATGTTTTCTTATATATACAACACTAACAATCCAATTGCAAATATATCAGAATGTAAGTCAAGTGGTTTACATTTTGGTAATAGCTAAGTATCTGGGCCCTTACTAAGTGTCAAGAACCACACTGGGCACTCATTAAATCTTAGTAACATTCCAGGGCAGTGACTAATAAAGCCCATGAGGCTGTGAAAACACCATATAGCCAAGAGGAGGCTATAGGTGACATGACCCATCCCACAGCTTTGGGATCAGTCTGGCTTAAAAGAAAAAATAACCCCCTCTACCCCAAGGAGTCCTTTGATACTTTGGTTGGAGAAATAAAGTTTTCTAGTAGTCTCATAATCTCTAGCTTGTACTGGTTACCTGAATCCTCCAAATTATTAAAATTAAAGCCATGATATCGCAAAACAAAACTATTTGCCTATGTCTCCAAGGTATCATTAGCATACCTTCAATCTCACACAGTTGTGTACATTTATTAATCTGATCGAATTTTCCCCCTTTCTTACCCTACTAGTCACTTTACCATGTCCTCTGGTACTCACTGTCTAATATAAATAAATTCCTCTTGTAACCCATCTCTTTTTTGAATAATCTATTCAACTCCATGCCTGAACCACAGTGCCCCCCAGATTGATAATATACTGTTCTGCAGCCCTTTTTCCCCCTCAGAACACCTTGTACCTCAGGACCTATTGCTGTTCTAAAGCTCCGAGTACCTCCTCATTCGCTATGGACTTAAACACCTGGCTTTCTGACTTCTTTACCAACTTATTCCTGGCTATTTCAGCATCCACACATTTTGATTCTGACTTTCTAGACATCCTTGCTTCCAATATCACCCTTCCTTACCACTGCCACCTATTATATCATCATACCCTTGACCCTGTCATCACGGTTTACTGCACAACCCATAATAATTTTTAGGTATTTATATTTTAGGTGTCCTCTCCACTTGTGTACTTTCTATTTCTAAAACTTGCTCATCTATCCTGGCAATTCTCTTCAAAATCAGTCAGACGCAAAGACTCTGACCCTACCACTTTCTCACTATCTACTTCCTGTTGTACTTGTTCCCTCCTGGTTTTAATTATCATGAACACAATTATGTCCTTACAAATACCCTAAACTTCCTTTATCCTGTTTGTCTGGTTAAGATCCTAACCCCATTTGAACTCAAATCTGTGGCTGTATACAAGTATCTAAAAACTGCTTCTAAAAAAAAAAGTACAGGTATCTCCATTGTGAATCATATTCATGGCCACTGAATTTTATTAAAACTGGTAATTCCTGACACTATCTTAGAATGGTATTCCCCCACAGATCAAATCCTCTTAAACTGTCTTCTAATCAGATAAAGATCCTACCTCCCCATTAAGAGAACAGAAGCAATTACATAGGAATTCAACATCTCACCAAAGCATCTGTCTGTATTTACACTCATCTTCTTACAGTTAAGTATCCTTTTTCCTATTAAAGGTTAACTACTTGACTTGTGCACTGGACCCCATCTTTTTCTTTCTCCTCAGTCCCACCTAGTCATGTTTATCACACCACCATTCTAGAGACAAGCTTTGAGACATTCATGCTACCAAATCCAACTATCATTTGTTTGTTATCTTTCTGAAGTGTATTTGACAGAGTTGATTACACATTCCTTAAAACTTTATTTTTCTGGCTTGCACAATATACCATTTTCTTAGTTTTCCTCTCACCAAACTGAGGTTGCTCCTCAAATCTGTTTCTCTGCTCCCACTTAATGTTTGGGTGTCCCAGGGCTCTGTCCTTGTGCTCATGTTTGATATATGCTCTTGTTCTAAGTGATCTTATTATTTAGTCCTAATACTTAAAAATATTACATATGTGTTCATAATCCTCAAAACTGTACTGTCCAATGCTAATACCCCCTGAAACATCAGGCTTGTTCAGCTAACTGCCCAGTTGACATTTCCAGAGAGTTAATAAGCAGTTCATATATATTTCCAAAACTCTCAATTTCCTGTACTAAATTTATTCCAATCCCAGTCTCCTTTATTTCCGTAAAGGACCTTACCATTTACTTAGTTTCCTGTTGCAAAAAATATGGGCTTCCCGAGGACTTCCAGCCAAGATGGAGGCACAGGTAGACACACTGTGCCTTCTGCACAACCGAAAAAAGGACAACAAATTTAAAAACAAAAAACAACCAGAACTGACAGAAAACTGAACTGTATGGAAGCCTGACTCAAGGAACTAAAGAAGAAACATTCATCCATACCGGTAGGAGGGACAAAGGCAGGCAAGCCAGGAGGAGAAGACTCATGGCAAGGCAGGGGCTTGCAGACCAGGTGGTCCCATATGTGCATGCAGATAAACTGGGAGGAACAATGAGAGAGCAAGACAGACCTCCAAACCCAGGGCTCCAGGCACAAGGAAATAAAGCCTCCAAGCCTCTGACTGAAAACACCTGTGGGGGTTGAGGCGGCAGCAGGAGAAACTCCCAGCTTCACAGGAGAGTTCATTGGGAGACTCACAGGGTCCTAGAACATACACAAACCCATACACAGGAATCAGCACCAGAAAAGCCCAACTGGATTGTGGATAATGGGGTTAAGTGACTGAAAACTGGCAGAGTGGAGCAAGTGCCATTGTTCCCCCTTGGACCCCACCCCCACATACAGTGTCACAACACAGCAATGAGGGTTGCCCAGCCCTGGCAAACACCTAAGGCTCCACCCCTTACTACATAACAGGCACGCCAAGAGAAAAAAAAAAAAAAAAAAAGCCCAAACAAAGAACAGATCAAAGCTCCAGAAAAAAAAAACAATTAAGCAACAAAAAGAGAGCCAACCTATCAGAGACACAGTTCAAAACACTGGTTATCAGGATGCTCCAGGAACTCACTGGGTACTTCAACAGCATGAAAAAAATCCAGGTGACAATGAAGGCTGCATTATGTGGGATAAAGAAAAATCTACAGGGAACCAACAGTTGACAGGAAGGAAACCAGGACTCAAATCAATGGTTTGGAAAAGAAGGAAGAAACATTCAACCAGAACAGAATGAAGAAACAAGAATTCAAAAAAGTGAGGAGAGGCTTAGGAACCTCCAAGACTTCTTTAAATGTTCCAACATCCAAATCATAGGGGTGCCAGAAGAAGAGGAAGAGCAACAAATTGAAAACTTATTTGAACAAATAATGAAGGAGAACTTCCTCAATCTGGCAAAGGAAATAGACTTCCAGGAAGTCCAGGAAGCCCAGAGAGTCCCAAAGAAGTTGGACCCAAGTAGGAACACACCAAGGCACATCATAACTACATTACTGAAGGTTAAAATTAAGGAGAGGATCCTAGAAGCAGCAAGAGAAAAGGAGACAGTTACCTACATTACCTACAAAGGAGTTCCCATCAGACTGTCAGCTGATTTCTCAAAAGAGACCTTATAGACAAGAAGGGGCTGGAAAGAAATATTCCAAGTCATCCAAGGCAAGGACCTTCATCCAAGATTGCTCTATCCAGCAAAGCTTTCATTTAGAATGGAAGGGCAGATAAAGTGCTTCTCAGATAATGTCAAGTTAAGAGTTCATCATTGCCAAGCACTTATTATATGAAATGTTAAAAGGACTTATCTAAGAAGAGATGAACAGTAAAATGACAAGAAACTCACATCTATTAACACCGAACCTAAAACACAAAACAAAACGGAAAAAAAAACCCAAAACCAAAGAACAACAACAACTAAGCAAACAACCAGAACAGGAACAGAATCACAGACATGGAGATCACATGGAGGGCTGTGTGAGGGGGAGACAGGGGGAAAAGGTACAGAGAATAAGTAGCATAAATGGTAGGTAGAAAATTGACAGGGGGAGGTTAAGAATCGTATAGGAAATGGAGAAGCCAAAGAACTTATATGTATGACCCATGGACGTGAACTAAAGGGGGTGAATGGGGGTGGGCAGAGCAGAGGGGAATAAAAGGGGCAAAATGGGACAACTGTAATAGCATAATCAATAAAATATACTAAAACAAAACCCCTTATATGCTTCCCTAATTGTTCTTTCTCCTTCACTCTACCACACCAATCTACTGGCAAGTCTTATAGACTCTACTTCTAAAACATACCAGAATCTATCCATGTCTACCACAATCACCACCTCTTACAACGCAGATTACTCGTTGGCTTCCCTGCTTCTTCTCCAGACCCCCTAAAATCTACTCTCCACAAAGCAGCCAAAATAGAAATAACATAATTTCACTCCCCTGCTGTTCAGTGGCTTCCCTTCATACTTACATAAAAATCTAACTTCACATTAGCTTTGTAAGTCTTGAATGAGCTAGCCTCTGCTAATCTCTTATTTCAACTATATCATCCCTTTCCTTGTCCACTACTTATAATCCAGACACACCAAGCTTCGTTCAGTTCTAAGTCATGGCCACCGTAAAGTCTTTGTACTAGTTGTTTCCTTTGCTGGAATGGTCTTGCCATTTTCTGGATTAGCTAGCTCTTCTTTGTTCAGTTTCAATGTCCTCATCTCAACAAAGCATTCTTTTAGCACTCAATATTACCACAAGAACAAACACCTACTGTCTTATCATTCTGTACCTCACACCCAGAACTGTGCCTGGTTCCGAAACAGGAACTCAATGAACAAATGAATCTCTATAGTAACCTTTCTATTACTGTGTAACTTTTTAGACAACAGCATTAGAAACAATAAATCTTTTTCAAGAACACATAGCTGGTAAATAGTATTTCTTTGATCCAAAGATGTATTACATGATACAAAGGTTACCCAACAATAACAAATTATAGTTGTATTATACCTATGAAGAAGTAAATGGTTTATTGGGTAAATGAAATGTAAGAAACATCACTATAAATTAAATTTATGATGCAAGACACTTCTGTAATAAATTCTAATGAATTGTTAATTAAAATGCATACATACATGCCTCTCTTGGGAAAAACTGAAAACAAAATACACAAAAGGGTAAACCTTACCAGAGTTAATTTTCGCCTGTAACCACTTTTTCATACACTCTTGGTGGACATACTGCAGACTTCCTGTGCACTTGCATGGCTCTATTAGCAAGTTAGATGATGATGCAGCTGCCATCTGACAAATTCTACATAAGTCACCCTCTTCTTCTTCAGAGTCCTCTAAAAGAAGGCTGAAAAAGAAAGCACATTTCCTAAAGCAGAGGTAACAGGTTATTTCCAGTCATGCATAATCTCAAATGATACCTTTTTTGTTATTTCTACTTGCACTCTCTCTAGCTAGGAAAAAACAACAATAAAGAGGAAAAACTATTACAATGAAAATAAAAAAAATACAGTAAATACTTTAAAGGTAAATGAAATAAGTTATCTTACTGCTTTCTTTAAATCATTTAATTTTGTTTTTGATACTACAGTTTAAGTTCCATATTTTTCACAATCACTTTACATGTATCCCTAAGAGATTGTAATTTCAACAGTACTATAGTCTACTTCAATACCCCTCACTTCTTCAAAAAACTTTTAGAACTGAAGTGACTTAAATACAGACTAGTGACTTCTCATTTACATGTTGCCAGAACAACCTATGTTCAAACTGATAAGCTTTTTATATTAAATCACAGTAAAAAAACAAAATAATAGACTTAAAAATTCTCCATTTTCCTCAACCCCATCAATGTTATTAAATCATCCTGGTTCAAACAAGGGTAAGACTTTAAGTGTGGAACAGTTTCCATTAACTTATGTACTCTACTTAATAGGCCAACATGAAAAATGATTTAAATGTGGAACAGTTATATAGAAAGAAATTAATTTTTTGTTAAAATCTCTTTTGGCTTAGCCCACTGCTGACATAAAAAAGAGATATTCCATAAATTGATGATACCAAATACTGTTACTGAAATAAAATGTACATTGTATGGGTTACTAAGAAATTTAGCGATATGTGGAAAGAGGAATAGGTATACAGCTGTTGGGTAACTTTCATGCCCTGGTGTAACCAGAGGTATGACCTCAAGTATAAATCTTCATGTTTTATCTTTAGATTTAACTTTCTACAGTTCATAGTTTCAATTATTTTTTACTTGGGAGATTCAATTTTCTTTTACACTCATTACAGTAGCAACCCCTCTTCTGCAGGGGGTGCATTCAAACACCCCCAGTGGATGCCTGAAACCAAAAATAGTACTGAACCCTATATACTATGTTTTTCTTGTATATACCTATCTATGGTAAAAGTTTAATTTTTAAAATAAATTTATTTACTGATTTTTAGAGAGAGAGAGAAAGGAAGAAAAAAAGGGAGAAGGGAGTGGAGGGAAAGGTGAATGACAAGAGGGTGGGGGAAAAGAGAGAGACAGGGAAAGAAACAGCAATTTGTTATTCCACTTATTTAATTAATTGATTGTTTCATGTGCCCTGACAGGGGATCTAACATGCAACCTTGGTGTATCAGTAAAACAGCCTAACCAACTGAGCTACCTGGCTAGGCTGATAAAGTTTAATTTATAAATTAGGCATAGTAAGAGAGTAACATCAACTACTAGAACAGTTTTAACAATATACCATAAAGAGTAATATAAATGTGGTCTCTCTTTCAAAATGTCTTATTGTACTGTCTGTACAGGGTAGATGTGTTGGACAAAGAAATGAGTCACGTTGTGAGCTGGATAGAGCCAGGTGGGGTGAGATTTCATCATGATAGAAAAACACAATGTAAAATTTATGAATTATTTACTTCTGGAATTTGCCACGTAATATTTTTGAACCACAGTTGACTAACTGAGGTAACTAAAACCATGAGAAATGAAATTGCAGATAAGGGGGAACTACTAATTGTAGAGTGCCTTAAAATCCTCATAAGCAAAAAATATAATAAAGGAATACACACACAAACTCGACGGCAAAAAAAGCAACAAATGCTTCTTTTTAAATTATCTAACCAGATAGAATGAATGGTGCTGGCTTAATTTGTTTCTCTCTGGAAATCACTAAATTTAATGCTTTGCCTGCTGCTTACACCAATGCACTCAAATTAACCTAACTTGAAGGCAAGAAACATTTATAACTACTCCAGTTACAACAATTAGTTACAACTGCTGTTAATATAAGTACATCCCTCAGCAGACACCATGCAATCAGAGGGAGTTGATACTACTACCAGGGCAGAGAGTGTATCTTTACAAAAAAGAAAAAACCATGAATTATAAAAGCAGGAAGAAAACAGTCACATGGTACAAACTGTCCTATATAAGGAAAAATGGGAATACAGTAGTCTAATGCCCAACTTATGAAGTTCCCTTTATCCCCAAAATTGAATTTGAATGTATTTCTTCTTAAAAGTATAAAAAACTCTGAAATGACAGTACTAGCTATGTTCCCACCAAATCCCATTACATTACTCTTTTATGAACAAGAAAAATACCCTACAACCTTAGCTGCACAGTCTTTTCTTTCCTATATTTTACATGTATGACTGTATCCCATTTCACCATTAAAATCAATTTACTAGATAGAAAAACCAAATAACTATACTAAGAAGAAAATAAGTAAGTTGGGAATAAAATCTCTGATCTTTCACCTTTTCACTTTTACCATTCTTACCAGAGATTTTTAAGCAAACTTCAACTGTACAAAATATTTCATTTATATCAAGATTCTTTTTTAAAAAAATCCTCACCAGAGAATCAATAGATTTGGGGGGGTGAGGGGCAATAGAGAAACAGAGACACACAGAGAGAGAAACATTGTTCAGTTACCTTTCATCAGCGTTCCAACAGGGGCTCAACCCACAACCTAGGTATATGTCCCGACCAGGGATCAAACCTGCAACCTTTTGGTGTTTGCGATGTTGTGCTAACCAACTAAGCCACCCAGCCAGGGCTGTATAAAGATTCTTCAAATCTGAAATTTAAACTGGTCTTTCCAGCAAATAGTCACAGTATATAAAAATTATTCAGCATATACTTGGGACTTCAAAAACAAAATTAAAAATATGTACAAATTATTTTACTTCCAAAAGGTTTTAAGTGAGAATTACAAATAAATGTTAGTATCTTAATAACCCATGACCATTTGGGTCTCCTTCAAATCCAATTTAGCACTCGTCTACCAAGGAATAGGGTAAGAGATTAAGACTTTTGTCTTTGTTTTCTGTTTAAAACTAATCTTTAGATTATTTCTTGATTCATTCTATACCCCAGTGCCTACCTTCATTATTAATTCTTACCCATTTTACCTCTGAGTTAAGAGGTAATATCTTACTGTAAATTTCAAGGGAAAAAGTTTGACGTTATTAAGAAGCCATTTTAGGTAGTTTTTTCTCTAATCTGCTCTTCCTTTATGGGCTTAAGACAGGTATTCAAATTTACCTCTCTTTTATTTTCTGCAGTCTTTCTGGGTCTCTTGAAGGTGCACTTTTAGTTTTGTCACTTTTTCCATCAGATGAACTCCAACCTGAAGGAATAATATCTACAGTGATCATGACATTGTCGGTCAAATTATTTCCAAGTGCTGGGGGGACTGCAAATCGAAACAAGGAACCGGGAAGGATTCCTGTTATTCCTGGGTTTCTTCCACTGGGAGCCGAATCTGATGTGGAGGCACCTGTAGCAGCACTGCTTGATGCTGCAGGTGCTTGTGATCTGTTGGCAGCAGCCCCAAGGGGATCACTCTGTGCTTCAAGGTGAACCACTTCATTTGGTTCTCTTCTAAATAAGTGATGAGATCTAGATGGTATATCAGAGGTAGGTATCCTTGAAGATTCATCTCGTCCCTCTCGCCTCCTTCTAGAGAACAAAGGTGTGCATCTATTTCTAAGTGAGGAGGATAACCATGGTCCTGCATTTCTACCTTCAGGTTCTTGGTTAAAATTCTCTGAATCTGGCTCAGAGCTATGATTTTGGCTAAGAGATGACAAACCCCATCTTCGCCTAAGAAATCGAAATCCCTGAGAAGCTTCAGATGCCCTATTATCAGGAACGTCAGAAGTTGATGCTGCATTACTACGAGACTGTGAAGCTGTCGAGATTCTTGGAGAAATGTAAGAATTTTCAGAACTCAGTGATCTTGTATTTAAGGATTCCTGACTAGACCTTCGTGAAAAAAAAGTAGATGACATACTAGAAGCTATACGTGACAGCAATCTTCTGGTTGTACGTCTCCCTTCGTTGTCAGAAGATTCTTGAAATGATCTTTGAGATGAACCAACCCTACCTGCATTGCTTATAGTTGAGGTTTCATCCCTATTTGAAATAAAAGAAAATCCAGGCTGTGTATTACTTTGGGGAGATTCCAATTCTCTTGGTGAAAAATTTGATCTCAAAGAATTTCTACTAGAACATGGTATGGTCTGATGTTGAGAAGATATTTGGTGGTTTGTGGATGATGCATTCAATTGTAAAGTGCTCACTGAGTTCTCTTTTGGTCTTGCTCCCTGTGAATATGAAGAAGGAACTCTGTCTTGAACATCTATTTTTGAAAGAAAAAGGAAAAGTAATCAATTACATGGAATAATTTGACTATTAAAATTTACATAGATTAATAACTAATTACTCCCAAAAAGAAACACTGCTTTCAAACTGAATACTGCTACATTATAACTACATACCTTAACTATTATTTTAGAAAAAAACATAAATGTACTTTCTCTTTCTACACCCTTGATAAAATCTAGCATTTCCGTATAAAGTTAACATTACAAACTAAAATGAAATGAGACCTTATGAGAAGCAAAAACCAATCTATCAATTCAATAAATGTAAAACAGTTGAATTTGTTGATCAGTAACTGATATGGTAAAATATCTAATAACTAAATGGATAAGGAATTTTAAAGGGGCCAAATAATTCAATGTAAATGGCTCTTGTAACAAATAAAAGCAAAATAATCCTAGGGAGACAAGTGTTGGGGAGATTTTTCTTACTCTGCAATAGTATAAGTTATTTAATATAATATTATCATATTTATAATATATGACAAACCTTGCTAAGAACTAATAAATTTCTCCATTTTTTTCCTCCTCCAAGGAAATGGCAGTGATTCTTATCCCTGGTTACTCATCAAACATACCTTTGCTTTTTAATACTGGCTGGAAGCACTGAGTTAGAATAGAGTCCTGACATCTAGTAGGAGTCCTGACACCTAAGTACACCAACTGGTGGTTCTAAACTTCAAAGGAATGAGAAATACTACATGATTCCTTTATGAAAAATACGGTACTTATCCATACACCTAGTTTAATATAGGTTACTACTGTGCTAATATATGGAACCTCATGAAAGAATAAACTGTTAGGGGCTAAATCTATTTTATTCTGTACTTTATATTCCCAAACCTAGAAGCTCTTGATACCGTCTGCTCAAAGTCATCCACTCAAAGCCAAGCAAATAAAAAGATGTTTCCATTTGCGTTAAATAAAGCAAAGGTTTGTCCTGGCTGAGTGACTCAGTTAGTTGGAGCGTGATCCTGCACACCAAAAGGTTGCCAGTTTGATTCCCAGTCAGGGTCATATCTAGGTTGTGGGTCCCAACCCCAGTGACAGACAGTGGCGGCACAGTTGGGGCATATAAAGGAGGCAACTGATGTTTCTGTCTCTTAATAAAAACATATTTTTGGGTGAGGTTTAAAAAAGAACAAGAACTAAAAGACATTAGAGCAAAAGTTTGCCCCAAAACGATTATTTTTAAAAAACTAAACCTTTAAGCCTTGACCAGTGTGGCTCAGTTGGTTGGGTGTCTTCCCACAAATCAAAAGGTTGCCAGCTGGCCCCATAGTTGGGGCAAAAAGGCAAATAATAGTAATAGATGTTTCTCTTCCCCTTTTCCCTCTCTGTAAAAATAAAATAAACTTTAAACAAATGTATCTTCTATGTAAATCAAACTCCACTTTTGCCTGCTACTACTTCAATTAGCACCTTTTGTCCTCAGTTACTTATTGTTTTCATGGAAGGTATTTCAACTAAATGAAAACCAAACCATTCCTGTTAAATGAAGGTAATTCTAAATTGTCTTAAAATGGTGATGTCAAGCTTTAGTTTAGAATTTGTAATTACTTATTACAGTATGTAAGGCAAATTATACTGGAATATAGAGATGCAAGATTTAGTGTACTTTATGACATATATTCTTAAGAAAGCAAGTCAAAAATTTATCAGCAGAAAATGTGGACATTTACTTTAAATTATTTATATTTTTAAAAGCAAAACAAGGTACTGGGAAACATTAAGCTATTTGAAATATTCGTAAGGTGTACTTCATTTATTCTTCTGTACTGTAATTTTAGTGATATAAATAGGAAAATATGACATTACTAGGTAAGTTTATACATACATGATGAAGTTGTGAAATCACCACTGCGGTGACTATAATCCATAAGATTACTAACGGAGGTATCTGCTCTCCTCTCTAAATCTCTCCTCTCTCTCATTAAGTCACTTCCAAATGATCCAAGTACCACTGATGAAGATCTGGGAACTTGACTATGCCTCCAAGAAGAATCTTAAAATAATCAAAGAAATTTTAATTCAGAGAAAGCTTTCAAAGTTTCTGATGACAACAAATCTTCAGTATTACACAGGGAGATGATGATTTATTATAGAAACTCCCATAGTTACAAAGTTGTAATCAGAAGCAATATTTAGCAAAACATAAAATTATTCACTAAATGAACTCATCACTTATAAAATTATTTCCTACTAAAACACATTCTTCTCTAACACTAAACTCTATCTCCATATTTGATTGTCAATGTCTTCTTAGCTGTTCTCTGACTATACACAATGTAAATATGATACACTGGGTTGGCCAAAAAGTCTGTATGTTTTTCCCTGTAAAATAAGACACAGTTTTCATTTTTACCAATAACTTTATTAACTTGGATATTTTGAATACGTTGGCTATCTCCTGCTTTTGGCTTCTAGTAGAGAGATGCCAGGGGTTAGGGTTAGGGTTAGGGTTAGACATTTTTCAATGCATAACAGCCCCACAGCAAAAAATTGGCCAAAATGTCAATAGTACCAAGAAACTTTGCAAACCACTTTTGACACATTCAATCAGTCACAGCACCTTCTCAATACACTGCAAAAGTCATCTTTTGTGTTTCAGTTGTATTACCTTTCTTGAAATAATAAAGCATAACATACGGAAAATGTTGTGTATTTTCTTTCATCTTCAATATTAAAATAACTGCACAAAAATTCACTGAGTTTGATTTTTTAAATGCACACTGATATGACAGCTGTGACAATACAATCTAACAAAACTGTTTTGAATGAAGGTAAAGACAACTAAGCACTACTACAGCCATTGCACAGAAAAACTAAACGAACTTTTTAGCCAACCCAATAAAATGAGTACAGAACAAAAACTGCAAAACTTGCCAAAGATGCAGAATTTCACTAAAAGTCAATGCAAGTTATATTGGAAAACAGCCAAAATCAAAATAAATAACCCAAAGTCATCTTGTAATAGAAGCTCTTGTAGGTTATATAATACTATTACTCAGAAATATCACTGCCACTACAACTGGTTCATTCCTATTCTAAGAACTAATACATCATTGCAATTGTAATGGAAACTTTGTTAGATACAATTTCATTAAAAAATAAATTAAAAATTAAGCCTTGAAACTTTAGCCCTCTTACTATTTACCTTGAAATTTGGGTTTTTCCTCTTAGTCCCAAGAGCCTTAATCATGTCTGTTCATCAATAAAAATGACCCAAGGTTTTTAATGGTATACCTTGACAGAGCAGGGGAGAACAAAACTCTGCACAGTGGTGTTTGTCTGACACTAAATTCAACTGGTAATACATATGCATTTCAAGAATTTTATTTCCAATAGTGTCATCTGAAGTTCTATCTCACTTTAAAATTATTTTAAGCATTCGTTTGTTTCATTTGAAGAGGAGTATAAGGAGGGAGCCTCCTGCCTTCTCAACAAAAATTCTGTTCAATTTGTCAACAAATGTGTCTGTGAGTACAAAATAGCAATCATAAAGCTTTATGGATAAGCCATCTAAATCCCAGAATGGTTAAGTGATTTATTCAATGCTACACATCTGATAAGAGGGCTAGAATCATAGCTTTCTAATTCCTAGTAGAGAACTCCCAGTAGAATACCAATAACTATTTTTAAATAAAGAATTTCTATATTTTCTGAAAATAATATACTGCAATGTTTCTCATTTATAAAAGATATTCTTTGAAAATGCTTTATTGCCTACCTCAGAAAAATTGGCTTTCCTAGTAACAATTTTTTAAAATTTACCACCTATAAACTAGCAGATACATGTCACTTTTACCAATTTGATCACCATATATTTGTAGCTATTCCAATTAATGCTGTTAATATCTTATTTGTGTAAAACATTTCTACCAAATTTAGAAAATTTCAAGAGTTGATTTCAGTTCTAGCACTAACTTACGGTATGATGTTGGAAACCACTACATTTCTGACCCCTCTGTCTTATGTTTGCTCTATCTACTTAATATACCTTGTCTTGGGAAAAGGGCTTTAGTCCAAAACGCATGTGAAGTAACTCCTACATAAATTTAATTCTCACCTGATACTGCATTTAAACCATGTCCAACATTCCTCCCAGCTGAGGTAGATACACAGTTTGTACAGGAAAGTTTAGGCCTTTTTGAATCATGATCCCGTTGCTGGTTCTGTGATCTTGAGCGTGCTCCCTGAGTTATCTCAGATTCACTATACCACGTGGATTGAAATGGAGATGCAGACGATGATGCAGATGTAGACTGTAAGTTTAAAATAAAATTTAAAGGAACAACAAAATGCTTGGATTCATTATCAAATTTAATTTACAATATTCAAATACATTCCCAAGGACCAAAGTTTTCTACCATGTAGGTTTTTCATAATCTCTGTTCCCTTCTGCCCACGAGTCCCTTTATTTTATACTATAATTGTACTTTGCTGCATAATAAACCTGATTTAAATTAATTATTCTATGGAATTGTATATAATCATCTGGTTAGAAAATACTTAAGAGCAAAAATTTAATTCATTCCCTGGTCCCCGGTTTAATACTTCGACCTTCTGAGTAACCTGTTTCCTGTTGAGAAATAGACAGAATACCAAGAAAGGCACTAATATATAAACTGTGAACACTCTTCTCAAGTAGAAAAAAATTTATCCTGGTTCTAATGCTCATTCTTAAGACTGTTGTCATACAATACTATAAACATTATGTTTTTAAAAATATCTTAATATCTGGAATTTCTTCATCAGTGAAACAAAAAACAGCTGAAATAAGTACAGATTTTAAAACACTTAGCTCAATGCTTTCACTATTAGCATATAAACATACACACACAAAATAAAACCCAAAACACAATGTATATAAACTATTTTACTTTTTAATTTTTTAATTGATTAGGCAGTATGCCCAATATAGTGCATAAAAGGGAGATTAGTTTGTCTCCTTAAAAATACAGGTTTAAATAAGAACATAATATTTCAACCACAATGACAGAAATTGTCCTTTTATTTTACAAGAAATTTTCCTTCCTTAAACATTATATAATAATTTTAACATGCACGGGCAAACAGTTCATTTTATTAAAGAATATTAAAGGAAAAACAATGTTATTTTCTATTTTCAATGTTCTATTTCTTGACAACAAAGTTAAAAATGGAATATAACCTGAGTTGTAAATTCAATCTATGTTAATCTATTATTCACATGATAAACATAAGACAACAAACAATAAACAATTACAACATAAATAAGGCTATAATAGGAGGTATTGTGACAGAAAAGCAAGAGCCTAACTATGCCTGAAGAAAACAGGAGAGAATTTACAAAATGTGAGAGTTCACCTACAGGCAAATGAGGAAAAAGATTGCAGACAACACAAAAAGATGTATAAATCTCTCTATCCTGTGAATTTTCTACAGCATTACAGCTTACTTAATCTTCTATTATGCTTCAATTACTGGAAGCACACTGTATACATTCAGGGAATTCTAGAGTATGAATTGCACATATATGGAAAAGCAGAAGATAACGAAGCTGAAGAGCAGGAACAGGCTAGATCAGGGTTTTATCTATCCGTTGTCGAGAGACTATTTTGCTAATTGAATGTGGCATTTTTAGCTTAGCACAAACACGGTCTCACAGCCTTCTATACTGAGTACTCCAGAGTCCCCAGTCAATAAACTAAGTTAGCATAAGAGGTGAAATTCATTAGATATTTCAAAATAGAACCATCTTATGTGCCATTATCAGGGCATTAGTAAAATTATCCTGCATGCCAGTGACTTAACCCCTTTAGATATCAGAGAACAAAATAAAAAGTGTTTTAATTTAAAATTTAGGAAGTGGCCATTTTTGACAAGGAAATCTAAAATAGCAAATACTACCTAAATCTTATCCCCAATTTTTTAAAAGGAGCATTTTATGTGTCTCCCAAACATGAAGGATATGACAGAATACAATAGACTTTTAATATAGGTTTTATTTGTACAAAATCCATAAATAACTTGTCCTTATTCTCTAGCTTTACATGGACTAAATAGTCACTGAATAGCTCTTTGCAAATGTGATTGTGGAAACCACTCAAAGGGGAAATACCATCACATCAACTTCTTAGAAAAATCCTTAGAACATTGTGGGAGATGAAAAAGGTAGAATGGACAGAAAGCAAAAAAAATCAACAATAAAGTCACTGAAATAGAAAGAAGTAAGTTCTTATCACAAAAGTAATGGGAATAGAGAACAATTATAAAAGACAAAAATTCAAATTTAGAGACAATGTGAGAAATTTATAAAAAGTCTAAAATCATGCCAGTTTCTAGCCTTAGTTTCCAGCCTTAGCTACTGGTGAGATAAAGGCACAGTTACCACTCAAGAAACAATTTTGATGACTCACAGGTCTAAAAGGTAGCCTATGGAGCCTATACATGTTGTTACAAGACAAAAATCCATGCTAATATCAGTATATGGAAAGGCAAAATAACTTCTGCTGGCTTAAATTAAAAAATCAGACCTTTCCTAGGTTCCTACCAATCAAATTTGTCTGTTGTGCAAATAATTCTCAGTCTGAAGCAAAGCAATGAATTTTTTCACTTCTGAATTCTTTTATCAATTAAACTATGGGATTCTTGTAACAATATACTATGTATTCCACTGTCTAAAACTATTGGTGGTCATATAAAATCAGGGTGTGAGTTTGTCTCCAAAGTATACTACATTACAGACAATGAACGCTTAGTTTTTAAATAGACAGAGGGCATGAAGAGACATTTATCCGAAGAATAGGTACAGATAGCTAAAGACATATGAAAAAATGTTCAAGATCACGAATCATCAGGGAAATCCAAAGGAAAACCACAATGACATACCACCTTACACCTGTGAGAATGGCCATTACTAAAAATGTCAACAAGTAACATAACAAGTGTTGATGAGGACGTGAAAAAGGAACTCTTGTGCACAATTATTGGTGGGGTTGTAAATTGGTACAGCCACTATGGAAAACAGTATGGAAGTTCCTCAAAAATGAAAAATAGAACTACCATACAACCCAGCAATTCTACTTCTAAATATTTATCTGAAGAAAACAATACAAGTTTAAAAAGATACATGCACCCTTATGTTCGCTGCAGCATTACTTACAATAGCCAAGATATGGAAGCAACCTAGGTGTCCATTGATACATGAATGGGAAAAAATGTAGTATACCTTGGAGTATTACTCAGCCATAAAAAAAAAAAAAAGGAATGAAATTTGCCATTTGTGACAACATGGATGCACCTACAGGGTATTATGCTAAGTGTAGTAAGTCAAAGACAAATAGCAAATGACTTGTGTGTAGAATCTAAAACAAAACAAATGAAACATATGTACAAACCAGACTCATAGATACAGATCAAACTGATGGTTGTCAGAGGAGAGGTGGTATAGTAGTGGGTGGAAAAGGTGAAGTAAAACACCGTTAATACCGTGATTTGCATGGTGATAGATGATTACTAGATTTACTGTTTTGATCACATCAAGAGGTATATAAAGGTCAAATAACTGTATTATACATCTGAAGCTAAAGTTGTACACCAGCTATACGTGACTGAAAGAAATTTAAGTAGCTTTTGGATTGTTTTTATCTTATAAACACAATATTATAAATAACATTGCTATAAATATTCATATTCAAGATCTGTGTAGTACGTTTCTAATTTTCTTGGGTCTAAATGATGGGCCATATAGTAACTCAGTGTGTAATTTTTGACATAATTACTAAACTCCAAAGTGGCTGTACCAGTTTATAGTCCCATGAGCAATGTAGAAGAGTTCCAATTTCTTCACAACCTGGCCAACTCATTTTCTTTTTGCTTCTCGTTTCTTTTCTTCACATAAGACAGCAGAAGAGATGGTTTATTGTACATGTTACATTTAGCCACAACTGAGAACAGAACTAGTCCAGAAAGTCACATGTCCAGAACAAAGGACCAAAAGGACTGTTTTTGGTGCAAGGTGGGTCTCTCAAAAGGTGGTCGCTTCTATCAGATAGCAATCTATGTTTTAGATCCGTCGAGAAGTTCTAGAGAGCAGGCATGCAGTCCAGGGATTGGTACCAGTGTCCCTGGCCTCTGGTTTCCCTTTTTCTGCTCCTGTGCCTTCCTCAAGTACATAAGCTAGTAATTTATTTGGACCTCTGCCTCATCCTCTCTTGTGCTTTGGCCTGTACATTTGCTTCTTCCTCCATTTGGTTCTCGTAGCATGGGGGTGCCATCTAAGATGGTGCTCAGGCCAAGGTTACTGTCTTTTCTATTTGCCATTCCAGAGGGTATAACATGGTACTATTGTACATCTGCATTTCTCTAATGGCTGATGGTGTTAAACATCTTTCTGTGTGATTCTAGGCCACTTGTACATCTTTGGACAAAGGTCTATTCAGGTCCTCTGCCACTTTAAAGTAGGCTGTCTTATTATTTTGATGTAAGAATTCATTGTCTTTCACTCTTTATGGTGTTCTCTGACACAAAAAGTACTTAAAATCAGTAAGTCCAAATAAAATCTTTTTTCATTTGTCACCTTCAGATTATGAACATTTAGAAGAAACTAAGAAGCTAAGAATTATTAAATCTCTATTCATGTTTCATGAAATTCTTTCTTATTTTCATTAAATTCCAGTCTCACCCTGGCTGGTGTAGCTCAGTGGATTGAGCGCAGGCTTGTAAACCAAAGAGTGGCTGGTTCGATTCCCAGTCAGGGCACATGCCTGGGCCGTTGGCCAGGTCCCCCGTAGGGGTTACATAAGAGGCAACCACACATTGATGTTTCTCCTCCTCTCTTTCTCCCTCCCTTCTCCTCTCTCTAAAAATAAATAAATAAATAAGTAAATAAGTAAATAAATAAATTCCAGTCTCTACACAGAATAGGCAATTCCTGGGATAAACCTTTTTCATAAGTTACTTCAATTCACAAGGCTGTTTAGGATAAGAAATGTAAATTGTACGTTATATACATTATAAGCTCAATGAGAAGCCTATCTAGCACAAAGTAGCTGAACTACTACACTGTGTATCTGAGAAATCCTATATGAAAAGTCTGTAAACGTAATTACTACAAATGTATGCACAATGGATGGAAGGGAATTTTCCAAACTTTCTGTAACTAGCAGGCTTCCACTTCTCATTTCATTTATTTATCTGTATCTTCACAGTACTTCCTTAAGTTACTCTTACAACAAGAGGTTTCATGGAAGGACAGTCAATTATATTATTAATCATTTACTGTCAGCCTTATATAAATCAATACTTGCATTCAGAGAACTATTTCTAAATTGACTTTAAAAAATATCCCTAAGACAAATGCTCTTCAAACAGTTCAGTGAAAAAGATCCTTGCCCTGGTCAGGTAGCTCAGTTGGTTTACCCATCATCCTAATATGCCTAGGTTGCGGGTTTGATCCATGCTCAGAGCACATACATGAATGAACCAATGAATGCGTAAATAAGTAGTACAACAAATTGATGTTTCTCTCTCTGAGCTCAATAAATTTTTTAAAAAGATCCTTAATGAGAATTGACCTTATAAAGATCTTATATCTAGAATATAAAAAATTAAAAAAAAACCTCTTACAACTCATAAACTGAATTAATAATTAATAAGCTTCCACAACAGAAAACACCAGGTCCACCTGGGTTCACTGGTGAATTCTACAAAACTTTTTCTTTTTTAATCCTCACCTGAGGATATATTCACTGATTTGAGAGAGAAAGGGGGAGAAAGAAAGAGAGTGAGAAACACTGATTAGTTGCCCCTCATACACGCCCCAACCAGGGATCAAACCCTCAACCTAGGTATGTGCCCTGACCAGGAATTGTACCTGCAACCTTTTGGTGTATGGGATGATGCTCCAACCAAGTGAGCCACCCAGCCCAGGCACACTACCAAACATTTAAGGAAGAAACAGTATCAATTATCTACAAACTCTTTCAGAGGATAAAAGCAGGGAAAGTATTTCCTAACTCATTCTATGAGGCCAGCATTACCCTAATTAACAAAACCAGAGAAATATATAAGAAAAAACAAACTACACACAGTACCTCTCATGAACATACATGCAAAAAACCCCAACAAAGTATTAGCAAATGAGATCCAAAAAAGTATAAAAATAATAATATACCATGACCAAGTGGAATTTAACCAAGTTATATAAGTCTGGTTCCACATTAGATAATCAGTTTAATATTATCACATCAGTAAGCTAAAGAAATAAAGCCTCGCCCTGGTTGGTGTGGCTCAGTGGAATGAGTGAAAGCCTGTGAACCAAAGGATCACTAGTTCAACTCCCAGTCAGGGCACACGCCTGGGCTGTGGGACAGGTCCCCAGTAGGGGGCGTGCAAGAGTCAACGACACATTGATGTTTCTCTCCCTTTCTTTCTCTCTCTTCCCTAAAAAATAAATAAAACCTAAAAAAAAAAAAAAAAAAAGAAAAGAAATAAATAAAACCTCATGATTATATCATTACTTGGAGCAAAGACATTTGATAAAATTCACCCCTTTTATGATAAAAACACCCCTTTTATGATAAAAACTCTCAGCAAACTAGAAAAAGAATAACTTCATTAACTTGAAAAGATCTATAAAAAACATACACCATTATTAACAGTTAGAAACTTGAAACTTTCCTGCTAAGATTAGGTACAAGGCAAGGATGCCCCCTCTCACCACTCTTTGTCAGGTAAACAACAATTTGATGTATACGTACATATTATAAAATGATCACTGCAATAAATCTAGTTAATATCCACAACCACATAGCTATAAATTTTTTTCATGTACAAAAAACTTTTGAGACCTACTCTATTAGGAACCTTCAAATATACAATATCAACTAGAGTCTCCATGTCATACATTATATCCCCAAAACTTATTAACTGAGTATTTTGTAACTTTTGACCTCTTTTACCCATTTTGCCCTGCTTATACTCTCTTCCCCAAACCCCACGTCTGGCAACCACCAATCTGTTCTGTATATCTTCAAATTTGGGTTTCTTTTTAAAAATTCCACATACAAGTAAGATTGTATGGTACTGTATTTTGCTGTGTATAATACGTACTTTTTTGCCCAAATTTTTGAGAAAAAGATAAGGATGCACATTATACATGGGTAGTACTAATTCCATATCTATGTTTTTAATTCTTTTATTTATACTTGTATGCTTATTTATGCATTAAAAGTATAACTCTAGAAACAATAATGGTATCTATATGCAAAATAATACCCTGGAATACAATAATTGATTTTTGTTTCTAAATATAAATAAACAAAAAACTAAAACAGAAGATTTTTTTCCCTGAAAGTTTTGGCCAAAACCATGGGTATACACTATACATAGTACATTTACACAGCAAAATACAATATTTATTTCTCTTATTTTATAAAACCAGTTATTGAAATATCTGTCCTCTCTTGTTTGTAATGAATTAGCTGACTACATATATGAGATATATATCTACATATATATATATATGGATTTATTTCTGAGTTCTCTATTTAATTGCACTGATCTTATGTGCCTGCTTTTCTGCCACTACAACACTGTTTTAATTACTATAGCTTTGTAATATAATTTGAAATTAGGGAGCATGATGCCTCTAGCTTTGTTGTTTTCTCAAGATAGCTTTGGCTTTGTGGAGGGAGGGTCTTTTGTGGTTCTACACAAATTTTATGATTGTTTCTTCTATTTATACAGAAAAATGTCATTGGTGCTTTCTTAAGGACTGCATTAAATCTATGGATTACTTTGGATAGTATGGCCACTATAACAAAATTAATTCTTCCAGTCCACAAGCATCAAATAGCTTTGCATTATTTCTGTCTTCAATTTTTTTCCAACTCCTTGGTTAAATTAATTCCTAGGTATTTTATTCTTTTTCATGCAGTTGTAAGAGGACTTTTTCTTCACTTTTCTTTCTGACGTTGATTCATTAGCATATAGAAATGTAACTAATTTTGCATATTGATTTTATATTCTGCAACTTTACTGAACTCATTTATTAGTTTTAATGTTTTTTTTGGTGGAGTCTTTAGGGTTTTCTTTATATATTATATCATGTGGCAGGCACTATTCTCATTCAGTTTATTAATTCATTTAACTCTAACAATCCGATAAAGTAACTCGCTCAGGTTCACATAGCTATTAGTGGAACAATACTCCAATCCAGGATGTATAGACTGATGTTAGAGTATTCTGTTCTTCAAAATAAGCTGTATGAAAAATTTATATAATTAAAAATTCTATAAATATAGGTAAACAACCAATTCTGTGCTCTTAATAGGTCACACCATTTAACCCACAACATTTCTGCGGAATACAAAAGATAGGATTCTGTCCCTCTGGCAAGCATACTCTTATCTGGCAAAAAAAAGAAAAGCACAATATCAAACATTTTCATGAAACATTAACATGAAAATGAGACCAAACAGTTCACATAAAGCTTATGAGTATGTAGGTAGATACTGATATTTTTGAGAAATTATTTTAGTTCAGTCTTCCTCTGAATATTTTATAAAATGCTTAACATGCAGAAATGTTTTTAAATGACTTTGTCATATAATATGTTACATGATATATAGATATATAAATATTTAAGATAGAAATTTTCACTAAAGGATTTTTTGTTTTATGAAATTTTTTAATTTATTGATTTGAGAGAGTGAGTGAGAGACAGGCAGACAGACAGACATCAATTTGTTGTTCCACTTATTTATGCATTCATTGGCTGATTCTTCTATGTGCCCTGACCAGGGATCAAACCTGCAACCTTAGGATATCCAGACAATGCTCTATCTAAACTGAGCTACCAGGCCAGGGCCAGAATGATTCTCTTAAGAGTCAGTTACCTAAACTTCCAACTTTAGTAAGCCACATGTGATTTAATTATCTGTTCAGCCAATAATACAATAAATTTAAACTTTAAAGACAATAAACTGCACTAAACCTACAAATTATGCTTCTAAGATTTACAGTTTTATGTTACAACTATTGTTACAACACTAATGAACCTTTTCAAAAATCAAAGTACTGTCAGTCTTAAAATTAGCTAGGTAAGAGTAGCTTGTGTAGCATTATGTAGATTATCAATCAGTACAGTCATTACTAACCATTAAAATAATCTACAAACTCATCTAAAAGCAAAATATTTAGATATCATATTGTCAAAAGAAAACACACAAACCACTTAACAAGCATTACTCCACCACTGCTTTGTATGCTTGCAAAGTCAGATAAATGAATATAATGTTAAAGAAAAAGGATGAAATTTTTTGTCCTTTGACAAAGTCATTCACATTAATTAACCTAGTTAAACTTACACTTAAATTGATACTTGTGTTTTTAAGGAAAAAATTTTCCAGGGCTTTGGAAAGTACTGAGTTGGCCAGAAAGTCTGTATGGTTTTTTCTGTAAAATACAAGACATATTTTTCATTTTCACCAATAACTTTACTGATTTGGATATTTTGAGTGTGTCAGCTATCTTCCGCTATTGGCTTCAAGTGGGTAGAAGTCAGGTGCTACTAATTCTTCCAATGCATAAGACAGCCAAACAAAGAATTATTTTGTCAAAACATCAACAGTATCAAGAAACTTTGCCAACCATTTCTGACACATTTATCAGTCACAGCACCTTCTCCATACATATACTGCACAAATCTTCTTTGAGTTTCAGTTGCATCTTTACCCTTCTTGAAATAATAAAACATAACAGACTGAAAATGTGTATTTTCTTTCATCTTCAATATTAAAATAGCTAAACAAAAATTCACCAACTTTCATAAGTTTATGTTTTTTAAGTGATGCTGATATGACAGCTGTGACAGTACAATCTAATAATATTGCTTTGAAGACAACTCAGCACTACTAGTACCATCATACAGGAAAAATTAAGCTAACATTTTGGCCAGCCCAGTATGATCATTTTCTGTAATTCCCCATTCGTAATTCTGAGGTCCAAGAAGTTTGAAAACATTAAGTTTTTGCTATTTGCCATGAACAGTAATTCATTTTGCTGCAGACATAAAAATGTTTTCATGCCTCAAATTCTGCTGAATATTATAAACATATATTACTTACCTAAAATCCAAAAGATACACGTGGCCCCAACAATTCTGAAAAAGAGACTATCTGTATATTCCAATTAAGGTGTTACCTGATATTCAGGATCCAGTCTAAATGAAGAGTCTCTTGAGGGATAGGTGTCATTTAAACTACTTTCTCTGCTTCCAGACATCATCCTAGCACTTAAAGAGCTGGGAGGCTGAACAGAAATTCTTCTTGGAATCCTCGAAGGTTTAGACTCCATTCTTAAGATTTCCTGTGAAATCAAATTTTGATTAGTGGCCTTTGGGAAAATATTCCAACCTTTTGTTCTTTACTCTCAATCATCAGCTCGAATCAAGAAATCACTGATGTAAATTAACTATATCTGGCATAGTGAATTGTAAGACTATCATCACCCCTCTTCTACAAGGCAGAGATATAAAGTAAAGGTTCCTTACTATCCATAAAATGAAGCACACCTAATAAAAGTGAGATGAGGAACTGAGATTTGTTGTTTCCAAAGCCTGGGCTCTTTTCCTTGATCAATTTTGTCTCCATATGAAATCCTACATGAATTTGCTCTTAATTATCTTTCTATTCTTATCTATTTTTAGTGTTCAACACTCATTCCATAAACATTAGCTATACTGTACTATTTGCACACCCCTTAACACAAAATGCTCTCACATCCCTTTCACATTCCCCATTTAATTCCTGGTCATGGTCTTAAAACAGGCTTTGTCTTCGTGTGCCTTGACTTTATACATAGTTTTATTAAGACACCATACTACCTTATGCTATCATTCATTTTCCTATCTCCCCTTTTCAAAGTAAAAATAATTTCTAAGTTTTCTTCATTAAAACATTCCTCTAAACCTATTCCAAAAGATACCATAGCTATACCTGATTTTTAACTATATATACATGAAATCATACAATATGTACTCTTTTTTATCTGGTTTCATTTGCTCAACATGTACAAATGTTTTTGTGTGATTTATTCATGTTGTTTCACTTGAATTGGTTTCTACAGTATTCCATTGTATCAATATACACAACATATTTGCCTGTTCTACTATGGATGGGCACTAGATTGTTTCCAGTTTTAGGCTATTACAAGAGTACTGCCATCAAGATCACTTTTATAAATTAAAAGAACAACAATGTTTAAGTATCCTGGCAAAAGGATTTACAAAGAGGCCTCAATAACTGAGAGAGGAAATGAGGACAAAAGCAAGTATCAAATAAAAAGAAAAATCACAATCACCTCTTCGACTTTTCCCAGTCATCAACTTTTGAGGTCAAGAATTACTCCCTTATTGTTCTGGAAGTAGACTGAAATTAAGGGGAGTATCGATACACTTTACTTACCCACTTTATTAAAACATTGAAACATGGTATCAGGAAAATAGGAAAGAGGACGAAGAAGGCAAAAACCTAACAAAACATATGGTATATATTGCAGTAGGAGACATATAACAAACACAAAAGATATAACACAAACTCATTTTATTTGATATTTTAATATTAATTAAAATAATTCCACCAAGGCCACGTTGCTAATGAGAAACCAGAGTAAAAGTTATACTATGGGATATAATTAAATAAAAAAAAAGACACTCAGAAACCAGGTCACTTTTAAATTTCTAGTTAAACATGATGAGTTATCCTTATGCATCTATTTTGGCCCCCCTTTCCAAAATCTCCATAAAATGAAAGTAAATTAATCCAAAGCTTTAACCATGAAAAGAACAGGAAGAGGACCACAGAAGGCATAAGATTTCAATGTATATGGAAAATCCAAAGCAGGAGAAATCAGCAGAGAAAATTAAACTATACCCTAGACATTTAGAAAGAGGTAGAGTGAGAGAATCAAGACCTGGAGGCATGAAGTACAATAAAAATGGTTGAAAATCTAGTTGCTGAATTAAAATCTGTAGCTGGAGCAGTAAAACCCCAGATATTTCCCCAAGCTCCAGTCTTTCAAAATTAGGGTATTCATTCTCTGGACATAAGGATTTCGGACTTCCGGCCAAAATGGAGGCATAGGTGGACGCACCGTACCTCCACGCACAACCAAGATTAGAACAACAACAATTTAGAGGCAGAATAACACCCAGAACTGATAGAGAATTTATCTGAATGGAAGTTGGACAGCCAAGAAGTTGAAGTAGACCCCTTCATCCAGACCGGTAGGAGGGGCAGAGAGGAGCAGCCGGGCTCCGGGCTCCGGTCGCCGCACGCGGAAAACAGGGAGAACTGGGCCATAAGGCAACCGGGAGGGCGTAAGGCATCTGGGGCACACAAGATTGCTGCGGGTCTACCCTGAGTACACAAGTGGCAGCTGGCGGACCCAGTGAGGAGGTGGTTGTGGACCAGGGCAGAGCACGCAACCAGGATCCCAGAGAAAGGACTGAGGTCCCAGGAGAATGGAGCTACCACCATTGTTCCCTCCCTCCCCTGCCACCACATACAACGTCACAATCTAGTGACTGGGGTACCCAGCCCAGGTGAACACCTAAGGCTCTGCCCCTCACCGTAACAGGAGCAACCAGACCAAAAAAAGAGAGAGAGAGAGAGAGACATGTTTCAAACAGAAGAACAGATCAATGCCCCAGGATTCATCCTTTTAAGCGACCGAGAAATAGCCAACCTATCAGATGCACAGTTCAAAACACTGGTGATCAGGAAGCTCACAGAATTGGTTGATTTTGGGCGCAAATTACATGAAAACATGCAGGTTACCATAAAAAGAGATGAAGGAAGATGCACGGAGAATCAATAGTGATGGAAAGGAAACTGGGACTCAAAACAATAGAGTGGACCAGAAGGAAGAAAAAAACACACAACCAAACAGGAAAGAATGGAGAAACAAGAATTCAAAAAAAACGAGAAGCTTAGGAACCTCCAGGACATCTTTAAACGTTCCAACATCCAAATTATAGGGGAAGAGGAAAAGCAACAGATTGAACACGTTTTTGAACAAATAATAAAGGAGAACTTCCCTAATCTGGCAAAGGAAATAGACTTCCAGGAAATCCAAGAAGCTCAGAGAGCCCCAAAGAAGTTGGACCCAAGAAGAAACACACCAAGGCACATCATCATTACATTAGCCAAGGTAAAAATGAAGGAGAGAATCCTAGAAGCAGCAAGAGATAAGGGGACAGTCACCTACAAAGGAGTTCCCATCAGACTGTCAGCTGATTTCTCAAAAAGAGACCTTACAGGCAAGGAGGGGCTGGAAAGAAGTATTCCAAGTCATGAAAGACAAGGACCTACATCCCAGATTACTCTATCCAGCAAAGCTTTCATTTAGAATGGAAGGGCAGATAAAGTGCTTCTCAGATAAGGTCAAGTTAAAAGAGTTCATCATTGCCAAGCCCTTATTTTATGAAATGTTAAAGGGACTTATCTAAGAAAAGAAGATAAAATAAAAAAACATGTATAGTAAAAGACAGGAAACTCACAATTATTAACAACCACACCTAAAGCAAAACCAAAAGAAACTAAGCAAACAACTAGAACAGGAACAGAACCACAGAAATGGAGATCACATGGAGGGTTAACAACAGGGGAGTGGGAGGAGGAGAGAGGGGGAAAAGTTACAGAGAATACATAGCATAGATTGTAGGTTGAAAATAGATAGGGGGAGGGTAAGAATAGTATGGAAAATGTAGAAGCTAAAGAACTTATAAGTATGACACATGGACATGACTAAAGGGGGGGATGTGGGTGGGAGAGGGTGTACAGGGTGGAGGGGAGTGAAGGGGGAAATGGGACAACTGTAATAGCATAATCAATAAATTATATTAAAAGGATTTCACAGGCAATCATTTTCCTTAAATATGGGATATTAAGGAAATATCTGTGGGAATTAAGTATAAGGAATAAAAGAAAATACATATATACTGTATTCAATGTTGAGACCCAAAGACGCTTTCCTGGCTTTGTTTCTACAATACTGTTCAAACACTAAGGGATTTTCCTCTTGGATCACCAAACAAAACACCAGATAAGATTTCTAGATATCAACATTTGGAATGTTCCTAATTACGAAACTTGCTTGCCACTTGATCATCCTACCCCACAACTAAGTTCACTAGTAACCAATAGTTGCTTCTAATCTACTGTTTTAGGGCTTCCCTCTAATAGGCAAACATCAAGGGTCATTAAACATCCAAGGAAGGCCTCCAATATGAAAGACACCAAAGTAATCAACAACAAAAAACGGTTAGAGAAAATGTGAGGAAAGGCGCTCATAACTATCCTCAAATGATTAAGACATTCATTCACATAACAGGAAGCTTGAGAAAGCAATCCAAGTATAATGACAAGCTTGTGGATATTCAAATGTAACACACTTTTTAAAAAAATGTGATACATTGTAATAATCAACATAAGGCTTAGAAGCAAATTAAGTAAACCTCCCTGAAGTAGAAAATGTACCCTAAAAATAGAACTGTCATTGGGAGTTATCAATTTGACTATAATATGGTTATAGAATAAGAAAATAAAATAAAGAAGAATATTACCAAAGAAAGAAAATAACCTTTCTAGGATTAAAGGATATACATCTTCACATTGAAAGGATTCAAGAGCACTCAGCAAATCAATGAAAAGAGTCCAACACTAAGCACAGGTTATCATCTTGAAATTTCAGAACACCAGAAATAAAAGAGTGAAAAAGCAGGTTGCATACAAAAGTAATCAGAATGGCATCTTAATTACACCTTTAAAAACTTAAGACAATGACACAATATCTAACCCTGAGAAAAATGTTTAGCCTTGAGTTCCAATCTGACAACTAAATGTGAAATAGAGAATAGGACACATTTTCAGGCATGCAAGATCTTTAAAAAAAAAAAAAGCACAAAACAAAACAAAAACCACAAGAGGCTAAATGAAGAGCATGTGCTAGGAAAATGGGAGTGTAAGAAACAAAAGAACCAGTCACAATGTCCAGGCAACTATTACAAAGGTATACAGGAGGAAAGCATAGGGAGCACTTGCTGAAATTGGAGTATGAGCATAGCTAAAGGAAGCATGGAGTACGATCATAGATAAAGGAAGCAAAGTTCTAAGAAAAAAAAAAGGTATCAAAAACTATTTTGGAATGTGGCAAAGATGATACAATTGGAAAAACTAATTTAATAAATTAATTTTGTGACTTGGGAAAACAGAATTATTCAAGAAAGGAGGTATTATGTTTGGGTGAACTCAAGATATTTAGTTTTATTAATATAAACTGCTGGTTTTGCTACATACATGCTGTGG